GGGGGGGGGGGGGCACAGCTGGCGACAGGGGAGCGCCGCGCGCCCGTGTCGCCATCGTACACCGCCTCGACTTGCACGGCGTCCATGAACTCGAGGAGCAGGCGCGGCGGAGAGAGGAACGGCTCGAGGCCGCGCACCTGAGATATGGGGAGATATGGGGAGATATGGGGAGATATGGGGAGATATGGCGTCCCGAGGCCGCGCATCTGAGTGGCGAGTGTTGGAGCACTGATCATGCGGCGGAGATGCGGCGGAGATGCGGCGGAGATGCGGCGGAGATGCGGCGGAGATGCGGCGGAGATGCGGCGGAGATGCGGCGGAGATGCGGCGGAGATGCGGCGGAGATGCGGCGGAGATGCGGCGGAGATGCGGCGGAGAGGCGGCGGAGAGGCGGCGGAGAGGGGAAAGGCTCGGGCCAGTTCACGCAACGGGCTCCCCTCCTCTCTTGTCTCCCCTCCCTCCTCCCTTCTCTCCCCTCCCCGCCCCTCCCTCTCTTCTCTCCCCTCCCCTCTCCCTCCCATCCCCTTCCGCACACCTGCATCCGCACGCCGACCGGCGCGACGACGCTGCGGGCGGCGTCGAGGCGGGCCCCCGTCGCGTTTGCCGGAGAGGGCAGCTGAGGCCCAACCTGCAGCTGCGGCCCGAGTTGCTCGACGGCGAGGCTGACGTCGGGCGGCGGCGGCGGCGCCGGCAGAGAGAGGATCGCCTCTTGCGCCGCCTCAACTGCGCCTTGCGCGGCAGCAACTTGTGCCGCCAGGGCCGTGACCCGCTGCCGCGCCGCCGCGGCGACCTATGGACACGTCTCGGACACGTCAGGGGCGTGTCCCGGAGAGAGAGAGAGAGAGGGAGAGGGGGGGGGGGAGGGAGAGAGGGGGAGAGAGAGAGGGAGGGAGAGGGAGAGGGAGAGAGAGAAAGAGAGAGAGAGGGAGAGGGGGGAGGGAGAGAGGGGGAGAGAGAGAGGGAGGGAGAGGGAGAGGGAGAGAGAGAAAGAGAGAGAGAGAGAGAGAGAGAGAGAGAGAGAGAGAGAGAGAGAGAGAGAGGGAGAGGGAGAGAGAGAGAGGGAGAGGGGGGGGGGAGAGAGAGAGAGGAAGGGAGGGGGGGAGGGAGAGAGAGCAAAGGGGAGAGGGATAGAGGGAGGGAGGGAGAGACCGCCGCCACTGCAAACCTCCTCCGCGGCGGTCTGCTCCTCGGCCGCAGCGCGAGACTCGCCCGCCGTGAGCGCCGAGCGCGCCGCGCTGTGTGCGCGCTTCGCCGAGAGGCGCTTGAGCTGGGCCAAGGCCGCCGCCTCCGCCGCGCGCGCCGCCGCGAGCCGCTCCGTCTCGTACCTAATCGTAATGGGGAGATATGGGGAGATATGGGGAGACATGGGGAGATATGTCTCGTACCTAATCGTAATCGTAGTCATAATCAATCACGACGGTCATAGCCACAATTCGAGCCGCTCCGCCTCGTGCCTAGTCATTGACGAGAGAGAGAGAGCTCAGCCCCGACTGGTCAGCTTGCCGCGAGGCTCTCCCTCCCGCACCGGCTGAGCGTGCGGGCGTACGCCGCCGTGATGAGCTCGTGCCGCTTGCCGCCCTCGGCCTCCGCCTACGCCTCGATTTAGGATCGGAGTCGCGGCGTTCATTCGGGAGGGACTCGCTTGCCGCCGCCTCGGCCTCCGCCTCCGCGGCCGACGCGCGCACCGCCTCCGCCTCGGCAAAGGCAAGCTCGGACTGGCGCTCCGCCTGCCGCTCAATCAAGGGACGCTCTCCCTCACGCGTGCTGAGGAAGGCGAGCTCAAGAGGGGAACAGCCCATGCCTCGGCGGCGACGGCCGCCAGCTCGTCCGCCTCCGCCTCGGCGGCAGCGAGGTCGAGCTCGAGCGCCTACGCGACGCTGTCTCCACGTGTCTGCTCGCCACCCCTGCTCGGCCCCTCTGGGCGACGCCGCCGCGGGGCTCTTGGGGCGGCGGGGGGGGAAGGGGGGGGGGGCGGGGGGGGCGGGGGGAGAGGGCTGGGTGGAGGCGGCGGGTGGGGCGGCGGGGGGAGATGGCTGGACGGAGGCGAAGAAGGAGGCGGCGGGGGAGGAGGCGGCGGGGGAGGAGGCGGCGGGGGAAGAGGCGGCGGGGGAGGAGGCGGCGGGGGAGGAGGCGGCGGGGGAGGAGGCGGCGGGGGAGGAGGCGGCGGGGGAGGAGGCGGCGGCGGCGATGGTGGCTCGGGCTGCCTCGGCGGCCGCCTCCCGCTCGGCGCGCCGCTGCGCCTCCTCCGCACCGAACTTCTTCGCGCGCGCGACAGCCTCGGCCGCGTCGGCAGCCCGCTCCGCCTCCGCCACCTTCCGCTCGACGGAGCGCTGCAGGGCGAGCGACTCAGCCAGCCGGGCCTGCAGGAGTGGCACGTCTTCGTTCAGTCTCGACTGCGTCGCGCGCACAACGCGGCGCGACGCGTCCGGACGACACCTTGGCAGAGGCCGTGTCGACCCGCGCCTCGTCGAGCTGCTCCGACACCGCGGAGAGGGCGGCGGCGTGCGCCTGGTTCGCCGCCCGCAGCTCGGAGCGGTAGTCCGACTCGCGCACCGCCAGCTGCTCCTCCGCGCTGCGCAGCCGCGAGAGCAGCTCCGACGCCTAGAGACGTGTCCACGACGCGTCCGCGACACAACCACGACGGGGTGTGCGGCGCGAGCGGCATCTCCGCCGCCTCGCTCGCCGCCGCCTCCGCCTCCGCCTTAGTCTTGCTGACCGCAGCCTTGCGCTCGTTTCGAGCCTACGAACCAGCTCCTGACTGTGAGGCTTTCGTCCGTTGATCCACCGGCTTCTGCGCGCGGCGCCCGAGCCTCGCGCGCTGCGCGCCGCGCCGAGAGGAGCTCGTGGCGCAGATAGTCGATGCGGATGGAGCCCGCCTGGAGGGGAAGGGTAGGGGGCGGATGCGAGTCGTCGATGCGGATGCGAACCCGCAAGAGCCCGCAAGAGTGCGCGGGATTGCGTGGAAACGCGCCACTACCGTCTGTCAGCTGCCCTCACGGCTGCCCTCTCGGCTGCCTCTCGGCCGCCTCTCGGCCGCCTCTGCGCCGCCTCTGCGCCGCCTCTGCGCTGCCTCTGCGCTGTCTCTGCGCTGCCTCTGCGCTGCCTCTGCGCTGCCTCTGCGCTGCCTCTCGGCGCTCTCTCGGCTGCCTCCCCGCCTGGCTGCTCGTCTTGGACTGCGCCTCGAGCTCGCGGTTGAGCGCCTGAGGAAATGACTCACCCACCGCAGTCATTCTGTGAGCACATGCACATGCACATGCACATGCACATGCACACGCACATGCGTGAGGAGAGCGCGCGGGTGAGCGCCTCGCATTCGCCCTCCTGGGACGCGGTGCTGCCTTGCGACTGGCATCGCTCTCTCTCCCTTCTCGACTGTGTGCTAGCGTGGTCCCGGGGTTGGGTGCTAGCGTGAGCGCCTCGGTCTGCTCCGCGCGTGCCGTCGCCCGCTCGAGCTTCGCCTCCGTCGCTCGCAGCTTCGCCTGCGTCGCCTCGAACATGGCTGAGTAGCATTGCTGGTACTCTCATTGCTACTGCTGCTGGTGTTGCTGCTTCGCCTGCGCCGCCTCGAACTCAGCCGCGGTCGTCTCGGCGCGGCTCTCCTGCGAACACCAGGACAATCGTGACCACAACACCAGGAGGAGTCGAATCACAATGGGTGTTGCGCCAGACCTGCGACCGCTCGCTCTCGACGGCGGACCGGAGCCTCCGCCGCAACGTCGCACGGTAGGCTCGCGCACGGCGCATGGAGGCGGCGCCGCGCGCGCTCGTCTCGTCGAGGCGGGTGGCGATGGCTTCGGTCTGGTTGAGCACGCGCCGGATCACCTGCTCCTCCTCCTCGCGCTTCGCCTCGGCCTCGCGCCTCGCGCACCTGGCGGGACGCGTCGCGGACGCGTCGCGGACGTGTCGCGGGCGTGCGTCCGCCTCGCACCCTCGCGCGCCGGTTGAGAGTGAGAGCCTTGGAGAGGCGCGCCGCCCTGCGGCCTGCGCGCTGCACATCCTCCTCGAGGAGGGCGAGCTGCCCGCGCGCCTGTTGAGAGGTGGCACTGCTCGTTGACTGATGAAGCACTCTGTGTTGAAGCGCTCTCTGAGGAGGGGAGGGGGGGGGCGGGAAGCGAGGTGCGGCGGGCGATGATGGCTGCTCCACACACCTCGTTGGGCGAGAGCAAGGGCATGAGCGGCGCCGTTGATTGCACGGCGGGTGCGGCGCCGCTGTGGAGGGCAGGCGCCGGCGAGACGGGTGCGGCGCCGCTGTGGAGGGCAGGCGCCGGCGAGACGAGCGCAACGGCAAGGCCGGTGCAGATCAGGAGCGACATGGCTCTCACAACGATGAGGGAGGTGATGGGCC